CCGGGCCCCCCCCCCCCCCCCCCAAATGTTTCTCCTATACCCGGAAATACATTCTTTACTACTTTAGGGTTGTATTTACAACTGAAAATGTGTTAGGAATCACGCATTTTTTCTTGAGAATGCATCGTCCACAGCCGAAATAGCCAACCCAAAGTACAGGCATGTGTCGCGTCGCGATATCAACTCAGATAACCATGGCATTGAGACTATCGGTACTCAACTTTATGAATAATCTTTATCGAAATGGATTGATTAAATATTGGGAAGACTTCAGTATTGGTTCATAAGAATTAAAACTAGGCTTATTAAACGTTATAGAGCATCTACGATCTAATTGTAAATCGTATTTATGTTAAGTCAAGCATGCAGACATAACAATTATTCAGGTAAGGGTACAGATTTTTACCACGGGAGTCATGGGGGTGGGGGAGGAGCGTGTCAATCGAGGACATAGGGAGGGCTGTGTATGTATCAGTCTGGCGAAATATATTCCATATATATACACTGGAGCCTGGCGGTATTCCGGATATTTACAATTCAATTCCAGTTCTTCACCAGATAGTAATAATTTATTTTAAAAAAATAAATAAAATAAAGAGCACTTCAATATCTCATTATAACCAATAGTCCGGGCCTATAAACTTTGAAAGTCAGGAAACATATCAACACAATCATCTTCATACGTATAATAGGCCTAAATTCAGGGCACTCAATGTGTTGTGCAGATATCTGTTACAAGTAACTGAATGCAGTTCGTCAAACAGATAGGCCTACATTTTTTAATTATTATCGGCACTTTGTAACAAGAATTTAAATCCAACGTAAGTTAAGGCCACGGAAGAGCCAAAAACGACTAGAAAAGCCAACAGTCTCAGCACCACCACGCAGGCGTCACATGTTTTTGACGACAAACTTTTCAGTGTGCTATTCTCGTCAGGAGGCCGAAAAAATATTATAACTTTGCTTTCGTTGGCATCAGTTGAAGCACCATTTTGTCCATCGTACATTTTCAAATTCAAGTGTGGTTTACCCATTTTTCAAACAAGTAGAATAAGCCTATCACCCTGAAAAGCAAGCAAAAACACATGCAATAATTATATAGAGTGTTCAGAAATACTTTGATGATGGGAGGCGAATGGAAATGAGGGAAACGTTTGTGTGTCCCAATTGCAGATCATAGAGATGATCTGCGGTAAGCAGATTCACCAGGAAAAAGGACACAACGTTCCGTTCAAGCGCTTTCAGGATCAATAATGACATGACAATAACCTCCCAAAAGAGACATAAACACTACAACTGGTGAGTCATATATGAGGGTTGAACGAGTGGTGAATAAAAAGGCAGGGGCCGACCACAACGTGCAGCCATCGGCGCTGGTTTGAAGCGCACGCTCGTGGTAAAACACAGTCTGTGGAGTTAGATCTGAACATTTTGAAACTAACGCCCGACTATGCAATTTACAGATTCATGAAATTGTACATAATTGTAATATACCAAATAAAAAGAGGCTTAGACCTACCTTATGGTGCACTTGCCAGAACCTACATTGACAGCTTCTCACACCACTAATAATGAACATACACGCACCACAAAGTAAGAATCTGCAACAATTAGACATCATAATTATTCACAACTCTATACATTAATCGGTCAATAGAATATCAATACAGGTATCAGAATATTTCAAGTTCACTTTCCAGTTTGCATTATAAAAACTGAAATATTAGACAATCTGGAGAGACAAAAACCAAATTAAATATAAAGATACACCCATACGCACCATTTTAGGGCAAAACACATGAATAAGCAATGTCAAAAGAACCATTACTTATTCAAATGCTAATGAAGTTACAATTCGCTTAACAATGCTTTAACTGCCATTTATATTATAGACAGATGCTGCTTCACACTCAAAGAAATTACAATAAAAACCGATAAAATGCGATCACCATGGATGAATAATAAGGAATAGAACAATCAATCCTACCTAAACAAAAAACTGTATAAATCTTTTAAAAGAAAATCCAACTTTTTGGGAATCTGAACGTGTCTTTAATTTTCACCTTTTTAATCTATATCTGAAACAACGTTTCAGTATTTGAATTTCATCTGTCATGGTAATATGCTACCCAACGGTCCTGCACATGCCAAACCAATATGTCAACAAGCCAAAAATAAATTATATTTTACTAGCTAAACTCACAAAGTTGATAAAATCGTATAAGTAAATAATCAACAATGGGTGAGCTTCGTGTTCTAGTCCACAGAATTTTAGTAGCAATCAGTGAAATTCGGTTTACCACCAACCATGGACATCTTCAACCAGCTTTTTCTAAAATCTTAGTATTCTTGGCCTTTCAATATAGATATTGATCCTGATCATTCATCTAATAAATTCATCACATACATGTATCAATATGCGTTGACTCAACCTGTATATTTCCCTACTACCGATATCAACCAGCTATTGATAAGTACCGGTATCGGTAATGCTTAAAATCCAATCTCAGTATGCAGCTGTTCATTTCTTCCAGAACTTCCTATTTCGTTACGATCTAACTTTCTTATTTATAACATTAAATAACTTCATTATGATTGCAAATCAATGAAAAATATATGCTAAGCAGATAGTTACTGCATGATCAGTATCTGCTCTATCATGGCGCCGAAATATTTTTCATTGACTTCATTCCGTGTGAAATCAACCGATTTTCTGAAAATATGGTACGGGTTACCTCACCTCTGTATTTGTTATGAAGCTTTTAAGCCCATCAAAAGGTTGGTAATCTCTTTGAAAGTGCGTGCTGAATATTTTTTATTTTTGCGTTTTAATGCCTTTTAGAGAGCCGTTAAAATAGCATACGAAGCTGAAACTTAAAATAGATGTTCGTTCGCCTGAAGAATTCAGATCTGACCTCAACAAAAACAATCAGTTCTTTCAGAAGTATGTATTAATTATGTGTGTATAGCCTATGCCACAGTGTTTTATACCTCCATACAACCTTCCATAATTATGCCCTCCTTTTTCACGAATCGGTAGACATATTGAAGTGATGACAAACATTGCGAATCAGCGGTGCGTAACCAACAGAAATAAGATAAGCTTTTGGGCTGATTTTCTGACATCATGTTATTTAAAAAATCATAACTCCATAACGGGGCGTCGTATCCAAAAAAAATTTCCAGCAAAATGTTCTTAAAAGACTAGTCTATACCACTATATGATTGAAAAAAAATTGAAAAATGTTTTTGACCACTGAAATCAAGATGGAAAAAGAAAAGCCTATCTTAGTAGTGTATTAAAATAGGCCTATGCATTACAGTGCAGTAGCATAGGACTTTCGTGTTGTTACTGTTCCAAGTAGCGATAATATACAGATTTCAATTATAAAGTACAAGTTATGTTTTATAAAGAGGTATAGCATAGTAAATCATGTTTTTAACACAGGAAACTCTCATATGGTAACTAAAACAATGCTAGTTCAGAGTATTACTAGTACTACTGCACTGTAAATGCATATGCCTATTTTAACACAATACTGAGATAGGCTTTTCTTTTTAAATCTTGATTTCAGAGGTAAAAAAAAATGTTCAATTTTTTTTTAGAATAGTCTTTTAAGACCATTTTGCTGGAAAATTTTTTAAAATAACATGTCAGAAAATCAGCCCAAAGCTTATCTTATTTCTGTTGGTTACGCACCGCTGATTCGCAATGTTTGTCATCACTTCATGATGTCTACCGATTCGTGAAAAAGGCCTATTAAATTTTCTGATACCATTGAACAAGGAGGTACATGCTGGCATACAATATCAACTTAACAATGATGTACAGGTGAATTCGACACCTACTTGTTATAGGCCTACAGTCATGTATCTTCAAATCACTTAGGTGTCTGCGAGTCGATGTGCTTTGGCTTGTAAACAGTAAATACTGTATATTCTTTTCCTCGATCAGGTGCTATGCGAAGCCTACTGATCAGTGAATTCTTTTCGATTGTACCGATATTTCCTTCTTCAGCAACATCTACCTCCTCGGGTACTCGAATGATTAACAACATGTGCGCTCAAGAATAACGTTTCCAAGGCAACGCGATGATTTATTGACTATCACATTCTACTCTTATCCCCCAAGAGGAACCCAAGTAAATCAAAAGTGCATACAGCATGTCAACTTTGAGTCTGTACTTTGTGATGGGACGCCAAAATTCGACACACGAGACCACGGTAGAAACAATCATAGATCGATTAGTTATAGATAATATCATAATCAAATGCATGGGAGGTTGGATATGTGTTCCGCATGAAACGACAACGATAATGGATTTAGAATTGATTTAAAATTAGGCAGTGGCTACATTTACACGCAGTCTTAAACTAATTCTTCATTGTGATTGGATGTTACTCTATATATGGATTTTTTTTTAGGACAATAACATCCAATTAAAATTAGGATTCGTTTACGACTGGTGTAACTGTCCATTGCAAGTATTTTTCTTATGGAGGTTTTTAAGACACAATTTTTACTATACTAGTAATTTTAAGTTTGAATTACTAAAGTCGAGCTTCCAAGAATAAAACAGGTTTTGTTGTATAATGTATGCGGCAAAGACTAGCCAAAGCAGTCACTCGTCGTTCTAGTTAATAATACAGGGTTAAAACCAGCTTTCGATTTCCAGCATTTTGTGTGCTCCGCACTTTTTGTGTTTTGCAGCAGTTCCAAAATTGTGCATAGCATTTTTTTCTGCGGTAATGAATGATTATTAAAAAAAATGACACTTTTCAATAAGAAAATCACAGTGATGCGTATTTTTTTCTGACACAAAAAGTATTTAAGTAAAAATATGGTTTATGTACATGAAGGGAGCATTGTATGTGCGAACTCGATGTAAACAGGCATATTGCGCTCTTTTTGGCCAAAAACATTGAATAACAACTTGACTTTGACTGTTTAAAAAAATATAAAAAAACCATGCAATTGTGGAATTCGCAATTAGTGTAAAACGTGTCACATTTTGCGATGCGCTGGTTAAAACAGCAAAATGAAAGTGCTTCATATCGTGAGGATAATGTTCTGTTATTCAATAGAGAGTGTGAAATGATTGTTGTAGTTTACTAAGCTAATTGTTTTTGAAATTGTGTGTCAAAAATAAATTATGGTGTTGGCACCTATTGAATACTAAATTCACTAAATGTACTAAATATGGAGAACCAAACTGTTGGAATAAATATTATTTAGTTCCTTTTAAAGTACTGCATTAAAAGTTACTTCAATAAATCTTGACACGTTAAGACTCAGTTGGTTCATTTTCTTTGATTCATCTGACCTTCCACAAAAGCGAATATAACTGGCAACATCAAGACTTCAAAAAGGTCTAGTAAACCAAAAGTTTTATTCTGATTATATCAATATCGGATGTCAAAATACAGACTATTTATAGGCCTATACAGTACAGAACTTTCAATTACATATTGAACATTACGTTCTTGTACCTCACAACTGAATAGAAATCAGTGTTACAAAATGCAATCTACATAGAGGGCGCTATTACTTGCCCAAATTTCCCTGTAAATTTAATGGCTTGAATGTATAGAAAGTCGAGCAAAGACAAATTGATTTCTCTTATTTCAGTGCCGAGTCATTCTTGATATTCTTCATGTGCAGACATCTACAGTATCTTACAGTTACTTAATAAGTATTTTTCTTCATGACGGAATATAGCCAAGAATGTTTAACTTGTAGACTACAGGTGGGCAAAGCGCGGCATGCGGGCTGCATGAGGCCTGGCAGTGAATTTTTTTGCGGCCTGCAAAAATGAATTAAAAACCGTATGTGTGCGGCCCGCCAAACATTTATGACTAGAAAACACCTTGTTTTTATGGCCTGACACCGATCATCCGTAAAAAGCAATGTTAAAACTGAGAATAAAGTTAAAAGCAGAGAATGAAGGTTTTTGGAAGCACACTGTAAATGGGTGCGGCCCACAATGTTAAATCAAAAATTTACTTTGGCCCTCTAACTGCTTTTTTATGCCACCCGTATTGTAGACAGTGACTCGACAAAATTGTTTCCCTTACATTAGTACATTTATCCCTGAGTCATTCTTGATATATTCTTCATGTGTAGATGTCTATCTTACAGTTACTGAATAAGTTTTTTTCTTCATGATGAAATATAGCCAAGAATGTCTAACTTGTAGACAGTGACTCGACCAAAGAAATCTGTGCTTTCTTTAAAAGTTATCTTCAGACGTTTTATTGCTTCACAGTCTTTGACAGGAAATATCTTTTGGAAAAAAAAAATTAAGGGAAAAAGTGAATACTTTTATACTCTTATATTGGAAAAGAGTTTTCAGTTAACAAAGTTGAGTGACAGAATTATTAAAAATGAAATGTACAGTAATACTGTATAAAGTTAAAAAAATACTTTATTGTCAATTTCACAATATATACTGTTACTATATTTTTATGTATACTTGGCCCAAAAAAACAAAAGAAAAAAAAAGAGATAAAAAACAAACGACCCAATAAGGAACTTCCAATACTTGACCATCAGATTACAAGTCTGATCCTCTACCAACATCTACTACAAAACAGGGCATTAATATTAAGGGTGCTACAGTATATGTAAACATTTTCTTTTTACTGTGTCTTTCCAGTTATATCTGCTAATTAGTGAATGAAAGGTTTGTTGACTTTGGTATTAAAAAATTCATATTTACTTTGATGTTTAATTTATAAATTATTATTGGGGGTTTTGGGTGCAGAAATTATTTGTCATCATTGATTTTATATGTGTTTCATAATAGGACACTAAAAAAGACGTACTTTATGTTCATAATTTAAACATATATCAACTGAAAATTTAAAATAATCTCAAAATTTAAACTAAGCAGTTTGTCAATATTGATGCAATTATTCCTATTATGATTCTAAGAATGTGATTTAAGTCTGCAGAAAATGGAACCAAAGACCTGAGGGCTGGTAAGAATCATTACTACCAGTCCATAATCTATTCAGTGAAAGGATACTTGCAATGCATTAGAATCGTCTGGATAACATTCTGTTATCAAATCAAACTCTTCTTCATCTGAACTCTGACCTTCCAGAGTGCATGTCTTACCCACAAATCCACCCTGAAACTGCATATGTATACTTGTTAGAAAGACTGTTTCTGGAAACTCCACCTTCACCCACTGGGGAGAGCCCTAGAATTAGATACCAACCAACAAAAAGTCATGTGTTAATCAAAGTAAAATAGAAATATAGAATATAAAAATACAATGGATAAGCAGATAATTAGGGTGTACAATTAAACAATTGTGACCCAAGCTCACAAAAGGGCTGTAAACTCGTCCTCATGCCAAAATGAGTTTTTGTTAATAATGGCATAGTACATATCATTTACTTTAAAATGACAGTTAAATGAACTCAATCGGGTGTCTGGAAGCAAAGTTATGTCCGTTTGAATAATTGTCATCTTATCAACTTTCCTAAATCAGGTTTTGAGAAAAATGCTTTTATTTTCGGCAGGTTTCTATTCATTTTTCACTAGCTCCCATCCGAAAATGGCTAAATTCAAACTTCAGGAATAGTAAGATTAAAAGTTATACTTTATTTATTACACAAAATCCCAATTCACACAAAATTTACGTTCTACGCCCTATTCTGGCTATTGAGGCTTGTTTCTCAATACAGAGCAATGCGATTTTACAGCCCTTTTGTGAGCTTTGGTCACAATTGTATTTTTCCATCAATTAAACTAAAAACATTAATTTTGAGTTTTACCTCATCTGAATTCCAGCACGTTTCATCATTTCCATCAAATAAGAACTTCCTTCCGAATTGTTTTGTATCCCGGTTTAACACAGAACTAACCCTGCAAAATAGTTTAACAAAACTTGATAGGGATATTGCCATTCAATAGAATTAACAGATTTGAATGATAGCTAGTTGAATATGTTAATAAAAATAAATAATTTCCTATGTTGGATACAGACAGTATTAAGATAAGGTCCACAACTGGGTACTCTCAGATTAAATAATGAATTGTTTAATGTTAAATAAAATAATTTAATAAAACTAAAAATTAATGACATAATACATGATTAAAACATTTCTCAATTAAAACAATCGCAATTATCTGAAAATTTTATTTATTGATTCCGATTAATACACCTTCATTCAAAGCAAATACAGTAAATATTTTGGTTATCAATGGCGAAACCTCTCACTCAGCTCCCAATTCGCATTCCAGACAATCGTAGCCCATTTTTAGGCCAGTCTGGAAATGGGCCCAATCGTCTTGGGCAAAATCAGCGGCTGCAGGTCAATACACAGTACTGTACTTTGTATAGAGCACCAAGAGTGAAGTGTCCAATATGTGTATGTTGGACAATGGTATCAGAGTGCGAAATAAACACTGTCAATTATCATATAAATATCTTCCTTAGTCTTACGTACAGGTCTCCCTCCAATTAAAGACCACTTGGGAATGGGGTTTTCATGGTCTTTAGCAGGTTTGGTCTCTCATTAGAATAATAAAGATAAAGAAATTTGTTTGGACCACAAAATAGTGTCTTAATTAATTGGAGGTGGTCCTTAAATTTTAATACTTGTACTTTATATTTATTTATATAAAAAATAGAGAATTATTTGGTTCTTTAATCAACATATGTCTATTTTCTTACAAAATTGGGCGCTAATGCACTATCGCACCTAACTTTAAATTCTTAATTTTTTTACCTCAATGTTCTTCTCACAGTCACAACATATAATTAACAAACATGTTCACCTGATTTAACCACTCACGTACCTTTTTCAACAAATAAGCCCACAACATATGTCTATTTTCATGTGTTCGCTAGCACGACGAGCGGCTGCCATTTTGCAATCAGTAAGAAATTGCCAGAACTTTTAATTCTTAATATTTTTACCTCAATGTTCTTCTCACAGTCATAACATATAATTAACAAACATGTTCACATGATTTAACCACTCACAAAGTACCTTTTTCAACAAATAAGCCCACAAATAAGTACAGCGAATCTGTGTTCGCTGGCACGACGAGCGGCTGCCATTTTGCAATCAGTAAGAGTTTGCAGCGTGAAGTTCTTTTATTAAATGTTTATGAAAACTTATCTATTTACGTTTGTATGTCATTCTTTATATTGTATGGTGTTGTTGTTTGACTATGTGTGTTCACATGAAATTCACACGCACAATAATTACTTAAAAAATTAGTAATGATCCAAATGCGTACACAGATAGAAAAATAGGGCTTAGGGACCTAGGCCTAAATCCAGAAAAACAACTATCAAAGCCAATGACAAACGTCGGTTCGATTAACCTCGATTACGACAAGAAAGTTCAAAAAGACGGTACTGCAT